CACTTCAACGTTGAGGCCGGGCACAGTGGCTCATGCCTGTAATCCCAGCACTTTGGGAAACCGAGGCAGGTGCGTCAGTTGAGGTCAGGAGTTTGACACTAGTCTGGCCAACATGGTGAAGCCCCGTCTCTACTAAAAATACAAAAATTGGCCGGGCGCGGTGGCTCAAGCCTGTAATCCCAGCACTTTGGGAGACCGAGACGGGCGGATCACGAGGTCAGGAGATTGAGACCATCCTGGCTAACCCGGTGAAACCCCGTCTCTACTAAAAAATACAAAAAACTAGCCGGGTGAGGTGGCAGGCGCCTGTAGTCCCAGCTACACAGGAGGCTGAAGCAGGAGAATGGCATAAACCCGGGAGGTGGAGCTTGCAGTGAGCTGAGATCTGGCCACTGCACTCCAGCCTGGGCGACAGAGCGAGACTCCGTCTCCAAAAAAAAAAATTCGAAAAATTGACTGGGCAAAGTGGCTCACGCCTGTGAGCCCAGCACTTTGGGAAGCCGAGGCGGGCAGATCACAAGGTCAAGAGATCGAGACCATCCTGGCTAACACGGTGAAACCTTGTCTCTACTAGACTCCATCTCAAAAAAAAAAAAAAAAAATTAGCCAGGTATGGTGGTGTGTGCCTCTAATCGCGGCTACTTGGGAGGCTGAGGCAGGAGAATCGCTTGAACCCAGGAGGTGGAGGTTGCAGTGAGCCAAGATCGTGCCACTGGACTCCAGCCTGGGTGACAGAGTGAGACTTCATCTCAAAAAAAAAAAAAAAAAATTCTTATTTATAGTTTTCAGTTTGTATAGATTTTTACAAATGCATCAGTGAAATTCAGGAAGTCTCAACCCTCTAGATTACTCAAATTCATGTCAACATCTCTCAGAAAACATCTCCCCTCAACTTCAGCTTAAATAAAAGGATAATTTTAGGTTGTCATTTGTATAGCTTTTTGGTTAATGTTTTAAAAACATAACTGGCCAGGTGTGGTGGCTCACGCCCGTAATTCCAGCACTTTGGGAGGCTGAGGTGGGTGGATTGCCTGAGGTCAGGTGTTTGAGACCAGCCTGGCCAACATGGTGAAACCCCATCTCTACTAAAAATACAAAAATTAGCTGCGTGTGGTGGTGGGTGCCTGTAATCCCAGCTACTTGGGAGCCTGTAATCCCAGCTACTTGGGAGGCTGAGGCAGGAGAATCAGTTGAATCCGGGAGGTGGAGGTTGCAGTGAGCCAAGACCATGTCATTGCACTCCAGCCTGGGCAACAAGAGCAAAACTCCATTTCTAAAATATAAATAAATAAATAAATAAATAAATAAATAAAAATAAAAACATAACTGTAATATGGTTGAAAGAACAAATTATGGCCTGGTGCAGTGGCTCATGCTTGTAAACCCAGCACTTTGGGAGGCCAAGGCGGGAGGACCGCCTGAGCTTAGGAGTTTGTGACCAGCCTGGACAACACGGTGAAAACCCATCTCTAATAAAATACAAAAAATTAGCTGGGTGTGGTGGCGGGTGCCTGTAGTCTCAGCTACTCAGGAGACTGAGGCAGAACTGCTTGAACCTGGGAGGCAGAGGTTGCAGTGTGCCGAGATCGCACCACTGCACTCCAGCCTGGACAACAGGGCAAGACTCTGTCTCAAAAAAAAAGTAAAAAAAAAAGAACAAATTAAAATCACCTAATTTTTTAAAAATCAAATAGCCAATGTCCAGTTTTCCCCATTTTCTCACAATTTTTTTTTACAGTTTGTTTAAATCAGGATCTACATAAGGTCTAGTATGTTCTATTAGTCTATATTACAATTGATTCATATGTTTCTTAAGTCTCTTTTTCTATGAACTTACGGAAGACATTGAAAAATCTCTCTTTGGCCGGGCGCGGTGGCTCAAGCCTGTAATCCCAGCACTTTGGGAGGCCGAGACGGGCGGATCACGAGGTCAGGAGATCGAAACCATCCTTGCTAACCCGGTGAAACCCCGTCTCTACTAAAAAATACAAAAAAAACTAGCCGGGTGAGGTGGCGGCGCCTGTAGTCCCAGCTGCTCAGGAGGCTGAGGCAGGAGAATGGCGTGAACCCGGGAGGCGGAGCTTGCAGTGAGCTGAGATCGCGCCACTGCACTCCAGCCTGGGCGACAGAGTGAGACTCCGTCTCAAAAAAAAAAAAAAAAAAAAAAAAAAAGAAAAATCTCTCTTTAAAAATAAAAACTTGATTTTGACATAACTTGAGGCCTACTTAGAAGTGGCAGAGTTCAAGCTGGGCACAATGGCTCATGCCTATAATCCCAGCACTTTGGGTGGCCATGGCAGGCGGATCATCTGAAGTCAGACGTTCGAGACCAGCATGGCCAGCATGGCAAAAGCCTGTCTCTACTAAAAATAAAAAAATTAGCTGGACGTGGTGATGCGTGCCTATAGTCCCAGCTATTTGGGAGGCTGCGGCAAAAGAATTGCTTGAACCCGGGAGGCAGAGGCTGCAGTGAGCTGAGATGGTGCCACTGCACTCCAGCCTGGGCAACAGAGTGAGACTTTGTCCCAAAAAAAAAAAAAAAAAAAAAAAGTTGCCGAGTTCCTGATTTTAAAGTTGTTGTCATTTTTTAAATTTGTAGGTTCTATCCATATCCTTCTCTCCTTCTCCTTGTATATATTATTTAAAAATCAGGTCATTTGCCTGTAGGATTTCCTATGTTGACAAAAAAAGGCAAACTGTAAAATATTTTAAGAGATTCTGAGCCAAATATGAGTGACCAATGGCCAGCGACATAGCCCTTAGGAGATCCTAAGAAAATGTACACGGTGGCCGGGCGCGGTGGCTCAAGCCTGTAATCCCAGCACTTTGGGAGGCCGAGACGGGTGGATCACGAGGTCAGGAGATCGAGACCATCCTGGCTAACACGGTGAAACCCCGTCTCTACTAAGAAATACAAAAAAAAACTAGCCGGGCGAGGTGGCGGGCGCCTGTAGTCCCAGCTACTCGGGAGGCTGAGGCCGGAGAATGGCGTGAACCCGGGAGGCGGAGCTTGCAGTGAGCTGAGATCTGGCCACTGCACTCCAGCCTGGGCTACAGAGCGAGACTCCGTCTCAAAAAAAAAAAAAAAAAAGAAAATGTACATGGTTAGGTTACAGCTTGGCTTTATACATTTTCAGAAGACGTAAGACATCAGTCAATACATGTAGACGTACATTGGTTCTGTTCAGAAAGGTGGCGCAACTTGTAGTGGGGAGGCTTCCAGGTCATAGGCAGATTCAAAGACGTTCTGACTGGCAATTGATTGAAAAGGTTAAGTTACGTCTAAAGACCTAGAATCAACAGAAGGGAGTTTCTAGGTTAAGATAGGGGCTTGTGGAGACCAAGATTTCCATTAAGCAGAGGAAGTCTCTAGGTAGCAGGCTTCAGAGAGAATAGATTGTAAGTGCTTCTTATTAGAGTTCTCTCCTGAAGCAGGAAAAAGACCTGGAAAGGAGCAGGGATTCTCTACAGAATGTAGATTTTCCTTGCAAGGGATAGCTTTGCAGGGCTATTTCAAAATACGTCGAAGAAACTGAATGTGGGGTAAAGTACTTCAATTTCTTCCAGGGCCTCCTATCTGTCATGTAATCCTATACCAGAGTCAGGCTGGAATTTGGTGTCATTGCTACAGAGTCTACTTTGTCAGCCTCAAGATCTGTTTTTTTTTGTTGTTGTTGTTTGTTTTTTTGTTTTCGTTTTGAGACAGTCTCCCTCTGTCGCCCAGGCTAGAGTGCAGTGGCACCATCTTGGCTCACTGCAAGCTCCGCCTCCTGGGTTCACACCATTCTCCTGCCTCAGCCTCCCTAGTAGCTGGGACTACAGGTGTCCGCCACCACGCCCGGCTAATTTTTTTGTGTGTTTTTTTTTAGTAGAGATGGGGTTTCACCGTGTTAGCCAGGATGGTGTCCTTCTCCTGACCTTGTGATCCGTCCGCCTTGGCCTCCCAAAGTGCTGGGATTACAGGCGTCAGCCACCGCGCCCGGCCGGCTCAAGATCTGTTTTAATGTGAGTGCCGGTCAGCTGTCTGCCTGAATTCCAAAAGGGAGAAGGGAGTAAGGTATGTCTGTCTCTTCCTTCCCATCACTGCCTTAACTAGTTTTTCAGGATAACTTTGGAATGCTCTTGGCCAAGAGGAGGGGTCCATTCAGATGGTTGACGGTTTGAATTTTATTTTTGTTTTACACCCGCAATTGCTGACTTGTATCCTTGTAGAATCCTTTAGTACAGTCTTGTCTTCCAAATTTCCACTAATTCACTCTAGAAGCTTGTTCACTTTCAGCTTAAATTTTTTCTGGCAAGACTACTTCATAGATGATGTTGTGTACTTCCAGTATCCGACCTTTTTGCGATGTTAATTAGCAGTCATTGATGACATTGCCTAGGTCCGTTAATTCATAAGGTGATGTGTTAATCCTGTTTCTTCTTCATTTATTAGCGGGAAAACTTCTATAATCAGACATTCTTCTCATGCAGTATTTGGTTACTCTGCTGTAAATTTCATAAAGGCAGGACAAATGCTTGATGCTTTCCTTTTATTAACCAGGCCGCAAACTGGAGACAGCTTGCCAGCATCCTCCAAAAGTGAACACAGTTAAAAAATACATTATTATGAATTACAGCCTGGAGCACCTGAGGATTTTCAATTCATTGGAATTACTGTTCTTATTCATGCTCAAATCTTCTTTTTTGGCAATGAGAACCGCTTCAGTTACGCTTCTATGTTGGGAAGACGCTCACAGGCTTTGGTAAGTTCTTTGCTTTCGGATACGTTTCCCTGCACGTTTCTCTTTTTCAAGAAAACTGGTTCCTTCAGCAGGAACCACCCGACTCCTCCTGTGGCTCCGCCCGGGTCCCGGAAGTCCGTGCAGCCCGGCCCGCGATCCCGGAAATCCGCTCGGCTCCGCCCCATCCAGGAAATGCTTGCGGCCCCGCCCCCAACCCCGGAAGTCCGCGCGGTCCCGCCCCCGAAAGTCGGCTCCGCTCCGCTCCAATCCCGGAAGTCCGCGCGGCCCCGCCCCCGCCGGTTCGCGTCTCTCTGCTGCCGCGCGGGGACCGCTGTGCTCTCGGTAGGCGGCTGGCCTGGGTGGGCTCCGCGCCTCCTTCCCGCTCCGTGCCGCGCGTCCCAGCACCCTTGGGCCCACTCCGGACGGGGTTTGCGTCCTGGACCCGCTTGTCTGCTGCTCCGTGTCCCGCCCTGCCCGTCGCGGGCGGCCTCGCGGCTGTTCCGCTGCAGGTTGGCCACGGCGGCGGGAGCGCCCTCGACCCGGACAAAGAAACGAGCGCTTGGTGCGACCAGCGGCGCGGGCGGCTCTGCCACCGCGCGTGTGCTTGTGTGTGTGCATTTGTGTGTGTGCATTTGTGTGTGGAATGCCGGGTGTTTGGGGAGCAGTACGGTAACTGAGGCCCGGGAGGGAGCCCAGTCATATACCAGCATCTAGGATTGGTTTTGTGATTTAAACCCACTATTTTTTATTTTTTTGAGACACGGTCTCACCCTGTCACCCTGGCTGGAGTGCAGTGGCACGATCTCGGCTCACTGCGGCCTCCACCTCCTGGCCTCAGGTGATCCTCCCAGCTCAGCCTCCTGAATAGCTAGGACCACAGGCGTGCACCACCACACCGGGCTAAGTTTTAAATATTTTCTGTGGAGACGGAGTTTCACCACGTTGTCCTGGCTGGTCTCGAACTCCTGGACTCAAGCAATCCGCACGCCTCGGCCTCCCAAAGTGCTGAGATTACAGGCATGAGCCACCGTGCCCAGCCTGAACCCCCTATTTAATGTCAGAAATTTGACTTCACAGGGAAAGCCCTGAGAAACTGCCAGAACAGGGTCCCTGGGGCCAGTGTTCGGAGCGAACTGTGAAGTGGCAGGGCTGTTGCAGTCCGTGCAGAACCCGGTGTGGAAGATTAGCCCCTTTGGTGACTCGTCGGTTCTGGCCATTTTAGGACGCTCCACTGTGCAGTCTGAACTTTCAGCAGGTGGAGGAAGGCAGAGAGAGAGCTGAGACTGTTGGTCTATGCCAGTATGAGAGCCAGTACGGCCTGAAGCCATGAGGGGACTTTCAGTTCCCTTTCTTGGTGGAGGCCAGCGCAGGGGAGAGGGGGTGCTGACAGGTGCTAGAAGCTCAAAGGCTGCTGGGGGCTAGTGGCCTCCTCAAGACATTAGGTTTCCAGATAGGATGGGCAGGTGGTGATGCAGCTGTAGCTCGTGAGTCTGAGCGGGAAACAGCCCCTGTGCAGTCAGTGTCACTGAACGGAAGAGGGTCTTCCTTACACAGGAAACGGGGTCTCTGGGGGATCCAGTGATGTGCCTGACCACAGAGAACACATCAGACTGGCTGATGGTGTCTGGGGCTGCAGGTGACTTAGTTGGGGGACCTGCTCTTGGCCTCCAGCCTGGGTCTGATGGCGTGGGCGCCTGCCTGTGTGCAGGGCTCAGCTGCCTCTGTCTGGACGTCCCCAGGCCCCTCCTCCTGTAGAGACTGGTGCTGCCGTCTCGGGATGTACCTGCAGGTGGAGACCCGCACCAGCTCCCGCCTCCATCTGAAGAGGGCTCCAGGCATCCGCTCCTGGTCCCTGCTGGTTGGTAAGGCTCTCCCCAGAGGCTGTCCCTACCCAGAACCCCAGAATTGGAAGCCTGACTTTCAAAAAGGATGAAAATGAAACAGTATTTTCTGTTTTTTCTATTACCCTGAAATCGAACAGCTATTTTGTTTCTTTGTATCCATTCAAATTTTATCCTGTGTACTTGGTTTTACAGATAATGCACGTCTATTTTGTTCCCTTTTAACCACTAACGCCCAGAGTATTTAATACTCTGTGAGCTTTTCTGAGGTCACCGTATTTTCTTTGTACTTGTTTTGAACCGTGTGGTGGGTGATCGTGGGTTCCCATTTCTTCTCTTCCCTGATCCTCAGGCCTCTTCATAGGACTCACAGTCCACTTAGCCTCCTGTCCTCCGTCCCTACTCTCCAGTAGGGTCCTGTACCCTTGGGGATAGCTGCACTTGTGTTGACGGGACTCCGTGTGAGGAGTGGTGCTGGCTGTACCTCAGCAGCTGTGTCTCTGGGGCCCACCTTTTATGTGACACGCTACAGCCTCCTGTGTGTTTTGCGTGGCACGCTGCGTTTTAATTCTTTGTGCACAGTCTTCAGGCCTCACCGTGGGCTGCTGGAGTAACACCCGTGTCAGTTCTGGAGCCTCACATGGCGGATGTGTCCAGTAAATACTGTGAATAGTGTATACTGTGTTTTGTTTTTGTTTTCTTTAGTGATGAGGTCTCGTTATGTTGCTCAGGCTGGTCTCAAACTCCTGGGCTCAAGCGATCCTCCTTCCTCGGCCTCCCAGGTAGCTGGGATTACAAGCGTGTGATACTACGCCCAACTATACTGCATTATCGAACCAACTTCCTGGCTGTTTCCCCTACTCTGAACCTGGTGGTCTGTAACCCCTGACCACAGCTGTTCCTACAGTGGGAAGGGCCTGCTCATCAGGGGCTGTGGCTCCAGGTCCGGCTGCACCGGGGAGGAGGTGGGGTCTTACCGGGATCAATAGGCAGGCAGTCACTTTCTCTTCATAGGAATCTTGTCGATTGGCCTGGCTGCTGCCTACTACAGTGGAGGTAAAGCACCCCCTGCCCCGCTCCCCCATGACTGTCTCAGCTGTTTGGAAAACAGAGAAAAGAAGGGAAAACCGTCCTTTGTGACCGTCCATGGGGCAGCCTTTAGGATCGGCATCTCTGCCCCTTGATTGCTGGTGGGCACCGCGCCCCTCCACGCACTGCTGTTCTTCCGCACGCCCATCCCGCCCAGCACCCAGCCTGCATTTCACTTCTTAAGTCTTCGGTGTTTTTGGGTCATCAGATATTCTGGGAAAGATGCTCTTGAGTATCTGTCTAAGATCCAGCTGTGGGGTGAGGCATACTTCCCCCACTGCCACCATCACTGGGCCTGCCCAGACAGGCAGAGGCCTTGTGCACCCCCCCTGCCTCTCCCACGTGGACGCCGGGGGTCAGAGCTGGGCAGGGTGTGCCGCATGTGGGTCCTGAGTGGCCAGGGCAGGGTCAGCAGCACAGGAAGCTGCCCAGGCGGTCCTTGCAAGCGTGGGGGAGGCTGCACTAGGTGGGGCCTTCCGTGGGCACGTCCCTGGAGCTCACAGGCTGGCGCCCTATGTCCGTCTTCAGATAGCCTGGGCTGGAAGCTCTTCTACGTCACAGGCTGCCTGTTTGTGGCCGTGCAGAACCTGGAGGACTGGGAGGTAAGGCCGGCTCGGGGGCAGGACAGAGTCCAGGACTGTTCAGCTCCTGGGTTTTCTTGCAATGGGAATGAGAGGAGGAGGAAGGGCCATGGGTGGCCCAGCGCCTCCCCGTACTGAAGCGTTGGTCCCTGCTTGGAGGTCTCCGTTCATTAGGACGTGGTCCCTGCACTCACCTGGTACGATTCTTGGCCAAGGAATCTCCCGAAGGCATTTTTCTCTTAGAAGCTCTCCGTGACTGTCTTCACCAAAGTGCTTTCTTCCCAGAGTTGCCACGATGGGACGCGAGTCAGCTTTCCCCGTGGTCGGCCCTCCCACCTCGGAGCCCTCCTGAGTCCTTTCAGCCTGGCCCAGTGCTGCCCTCTGACCTCCATGCCCTCATTTGCTGGTTCCGCTGCCTCCCTGCGCTTGTTTTGCCTGCAGTGGAGCAAGCACCCGCTGCACCTGCCCAGCTCCTGCACCTGCCCAGCTCCCCAGTTCCCAACAGGAGTCAGGCTGGCTACAGATGTCCAGCTCTGACAGAGCAGCACCCGCAGCTTCAGGGCTTTGGGTTCTGACTGGGAGGGGCCCAGCCCCCCTTCTTGAGTGTCTACCCTGGTGAGGGTGGGGGTGATGCCCCAGCGGCCTCGGGGCCCCTGTTCCTGGAGGTTCATGGTGGTCAGTGCCTGTCGGTTTCCAGGAAGCCATCTTTGACAAGAGCACAGGGAAGGTTGTTTTGAAGACATTCAGCCTCTACAAGAAGCTGCTGACTCTTTTCAGAGCAGGCCATGACCAGGGTGAGTTGTGGGGAGCCTGGGGACGTGGGGCACTGTGGGCATCTGGGTGACCCATGGGACCTGGCGGCGGGAGGCCTGGAAACGCCTTTGGTCCAAGCTCGCCTGCTTGGTGACCAGGATTGTGTCCTGCCCGCTGGACGCAGGATCCCACAGATATGGCCCACCTGCTCACCTGCCCACCTGCCCACCTGCTGGGTGGGGTCCTAGAGCCTCCTGGGTTCTTTAGAGGTTTGGCCCCTAGGGAGGGTGGGAGGAGCAAGGGTCTGGCAGAGCAGGGGTCTGGCCCAGCGTGCTTGGGCAGCCTCTGTTTAGCTGTGTTCTCCCGCCTGCCTGGCAGCCACTTGTCCCCAGGTACAGTCTGGCCCCAGCGGCAGGTCACAGGGTGGGGCAGGGAGAGCCACGGCAGCCCACGGGCGTTCCAGAGTGAGGCCACCTGGCTTCTTGCGGGCCTTGGCCCTGCTCCAGCTTTCCTGTGGGTCCTACTGGGCCTGCAGTAGGGGCTGGAAGGTCTGAGGAACCCCCCACCCTTGAGCCTGGGCAGTGGCCCAGCTGTGGTCAGTACCAGTTTCCTGTAGATGCTGCCGCAGAGAGAGAGGCCCCAGGGTCTGGCTGCCCATGCATAGCCCCAGAGAGGGGACAGATTCTGGTGACCAGAGTTGCTGGGCAGTCTTGGGTTTAGTGCCACAATGCTGTGCTTCTGACAGGCTGCTTCCTAGATCCCTGCAGGGACCCGGCCAGAGCATTGGCCCCAGGTCACCGTGGCTTTGGGGAGAGGAGTTGCAGGCCTGGCCTGGGCTGTGAGAGGCAGCTGTGCCGTTTTCTGACAACGGTTGGGGCCGCCCTGGTACCCAAAGAGGTGGCTTCCCTGAGTTGCCACAGGAAATTGCAGGGTGGCCCTGGCTCGGCAGCCAACCTCGGGGAAACAGTACAGTGTAAAGATGGCGGCCTCACACTGAGCGGGTCCCCGTGGTCGGCACTCCCAGGAGAACCAGCAGGCTGTGCACGTGGCCTGCCAGCCTGCACCGCGGGCATGTCCTTCCCACCCAGAGGACCCTGCACTGCTGTCAGGGCCACAGCAGTCCTCCAGGACCCAGCCTCAGGCAGGAAACAGCAAATGCTTTTGCTGCCAACCAGGCGTGGCTGTCGCTCTCGATGGCGCCAGGGGCCCTGGTGTGACTGCCGGGCAGCACGTGTGGGCGGGGACGGCTCGGCCACTGACCGTCTCCCCACAGTGGTGGTCCTGCTGCACGATGTCCGCGACGTGAGCGTGGAGGAGGAGAAGGTCCGGTACTTCGGGAAGGGTTACATGGTGGTGCTCCGGCTTGCCACGGGCTTCTCCCACCCCCTCACGCAGAGCGCAGTCATGGGCCACCGCAGGTAAGGCTGTGGGACTTTGATCTGGCTGGAGCTGCAGCTGTGTCAGGTGACTCCCGTTCCTGACCGCCCAGAGCTACAGGACAGCTGGGAGAGGAGATGAGTTTGTGGACGAGACACAGAGGGGTCCACGTTAAGCATGTGTAGGCTCGGGCAGCCTCCGTGGCTGGGAGGGTAGGAGGCGGCCAGGAAGTGCTGGGTCCAGTTTGGGAGCCCCAGGGGCTGCTGGAGGTGGGTGGTTGAGGAGGAGGCTGCTGTGGGGTCTCATGGCGCCCTGTGCTGAGGTGACCTGACCTTCCTCCCATTGCCGGCCTCACCCAGTGATGTGGAAGCCATCGCCAAGCTCATCACCAGCTTCCTGGAGCTGCACTGCCTTGAAAGCCCCACAGAGCTGTCTCAGAGCAGTGACAGTGAGGCCGGCGACCCTGGGAGCCAGAGCTGACAGCCCCGGTATGCCTGAGCCTGTGCACCACCCACAGGACCCATGGCACATTCCTGGTGTGCCTGAGCCCATGCACAGCCCACAGGACCCCGTGGCCTTGGCTTCAGTCGGTGCCTCCAGCCGAGTCGGCCTCTTGCCTGCTCACACTGCTGCTTTCACACTGCACGAAACAGCAGGCCGGACCAGGACACCCAGACTTTCTCCACCGTGAGGCCTGGGCCTGCCTTCCTGCAGCTGGAGGTCTTGCCAGCCCTGGACCCCTGCTGTGGGCCACAGCCAGACCTCGGGCGAGTGGAGAGGCCGGGCCAGGCCGGGCCCCTGTGGGTGCTGATGCTGTGTGTTGTCCCCGACAGTGTCCTCTCCCTGGGTGGACATCCCCAGCGGTCAGGTGCTTCCCCAAGGGCAGCGAGGGGCGAACAACCGGGGCCTACCTGGCTGTGCACGCTGCAGCCACACTGTGGAAGCTGCCCCTACCCAAGGACCCGCCTCCCTTGATGATGCCAGGATCTCGGCGCATAGACTGCTCTGCCCCTGTGGTCATCAGAGAAAGGTCTCTCTGTTCCTCACCCTCAGCCTCAGCAGAAGCTGCGATGCCAGAAAAAAGGTCAGCTCTTCCAGTATTGTGCAGCGCTTAAAAACCGGGAGCTCCAGCCGGCCGCAATGGTTCATGCCAGTAATCCCAGCACTTCGGGAGGCCAAGGTGGGAGAATTGCTTGAGGCCAGAAGTCCCAGACCAGCCTGGGCAACACAACAAGATCCTGTCTTTGCAAAAATACTAACCAAACAAGAAAAATTAGGAGATTTTCTGCAGAAATTGAGTTCCAGCCTCTTTCCCTCACCCCGTAGGAGCTCAATGCCAACCATCCTGACCCGCTGGGGCTCTTGGTCTCCCAAGTGCACCCAGGTCCTCCCAGGTGCAGTGCGCACTGAGCGCGCCTGGCCTGTGAACTGGGGACTCCTGGGTCCTCTGAGCCCTGCGGCGGCAGGCTCAGGAATGGCTGGGTAGGACCGGGAATGCCTCTGCCCCAGGTCTGGCTGTGGCCTCGGTGAAAGCAGACAGGAGAGAGGTGGGACCCTCCTCCTCAGTAGTGGCTGCCAGCCCCTCTTTGCAGGACATGGTCATAATAACCATAAATAACCCTTCGCGCGTCACCCGCGGCTTCCACTCTTTATTTCCGAAGAGTCAGTGTCACAAAGCGGGTCTCCCTGTGCTGTTGCTTTATGTGTTTTCTAGTCTCTCCCCCAGGGGTTGCCCAGGGCCCTCAGGAACTGAGTGTGGGCCAGACACTGCTGGGCCACAGGGTGCAACACTCACGTGGGCCCCTGTTGGCAGCGCAGAGCCCCCCAGCCCACAGCATGAGCCCCCTGGCACAAGCTCTCCCCTCAGGGGTCCTGAACAGCGTCCCTGCCAGGGCTGGTGGGTGGGGGTGGGGGTGGGGGTGGGGAGGTGGCCACCTCGCTGAGGTCCTGCAGTAGAGCTTGCAGCCGCTGCAGACTGGGGTGCACGTTCTCCTCCAGCCACTCCTCCACGGCATCCGGGTAGAAAGCCAGCTGCAGGGTGGCCTCCAGGTCCTGCACGAGGGTGCTCCACTGTGCCAGGAGGCTGCGGGTGAGGGTGCCGTGAACGTGCACTCTGCACACTCGGGACTTGCCCTCAACCCCATGGTCAGTACTGCCCTGTGCCTCAGCTTACCTATCTGTAAAATGGGGCTACTAACCCTATCTCATCGGTGTGTCTGGAGGAACAAGTCAGTGACAGCTGCACATCTGAGACCTGAGGGCTCTTTACAACTAGGGGCTCACCCTCCGCTCTCTCTCTAGTTGAGGGACATGTCAACAGCAGCAGCAGTCCTCAGAGAACCCACGGCTGCACAGCCTGTAAGAGCCCAGGGTCTCACCTGAGTGCTGCGGGCTGGATGTGCTGAACCATGACCGGGTGGATGAGCTTCCGCCGGCGGTGGTAGGGGCTGAACCAGCCAGTGATGTACCTGGGGCAAATCCACATACGGGTGTGCCATGGGCTACCAAGGCAGCCGTAGGGCAGCTTTACAGTAATACAGAAAATGTTTTAAGAGTGGGGTAGACATTTCTAAGTCTTACGTCCCCCAGAAAGTCTTTGTGAAGGATGAGGCTGCCTCCTCCTGTGCCTGGGGGTGGGGTGGGGCTTGTGAACCTGCCCCATCCCTGCCTGCTCACCCACACCTGCCCCTCACCCGCCCCATGCCTGCCCACTCACACCTGCCCCTCACCCGCCCCATGCCTGCCCGCTCACCCACACCTGCCCCTCACCCCACCCGCCCCATGCCTGCCCGCTCACCCACACCCCTGCCCCTCACCTGCACCTCACCCGCCCCATGCCTGCCCGCTCACCCACACCTGCCCCTCACCTGCACCTGCCTCCCACCCACACCTGCCCACTCACCCGCACCTGCCTCCCACACTCACGTGTTGCCCTCCAGCAGCACGTCCACAGAGCTGCGCAGATGGAGGCTGACTTGTGTGACAAGGGCAAGGATGTTGCTGCCAGGGAAAGAGCCGGCCCCCTCCCTGCAGAGAGCCCTGCTGAGAACAGCTGTCTCCACAGGCGGGGGAAGGGGAGAGAAGGACGGGGACGGGGGAATGGGACGGGGAGGGCTGCAGGGTGCTTGCCTAACAGGGTCCATCATCTCCAGGTTGGAAATCCCAAGAAGGTTCTCCACTTTCGCTTTAGCATCTTCATCAAATCCTCCTGAAATCACAGAGCGGGGCAGTTGGAGGGGCCTGTGGAGGAGCGCAGGGGCTACATTGGGACCTGCAGGCCTAGGTGCTGGGGCAGTGGGCGGGCAGCATGGAGAGCCACTGGCCAGGCCCAGCCCTGTGTGTGCCGGCCCCAAGGGGACCTGAGGGCAGATGGGCTTGTGCTTCTCTTTAAACATGTGAAATACATTCATTATTTAAAAAATCAGAAAACAGAAATAAGACTGTGTTGCCGGCAGCAACACCCAGACAGCAAGTGGTTCTTCCTGCTGGGCACAGCCCAACCCGCACAGGTGTCCAGGGCTCACGCAGCGTTTGCCACTGTGGTTCACACAATCAACGGAATATTCTAGAGCACCCGAAACAAACCCGTGAGGCCTGTGGGCACCAGCGTGGACAGATCTCCGAGTTGTTCATGGATATACTCGCTGCAAGAGGCTGACGGCCGGAGGGCAGTGCCCCAGTCCCAGGGGTGGCGGGTGGGGCTGTGGGCAAGGGACGCTGCAAATACCGTCCATATTAACGCAGCTCTTTAGTGTGGGGCACGTGGGTGTCTGCTTTTATCGTTTCTGCCCTTTTTTTTTTTTTTGAGACGGAGTCTCGCTCTGTCCCCCAGGCTGGAGTGCAGTGGCGTGATCTTGGCTCACTGCAAGCTCCGCCTCCCGGGTTTATGCCATTCTCCTGCCTCAGCCTCCTGAGTAGCTGGGACTACAGGCGCCCGCCACCTTGCCCGGCTAGTTTTTTTGTATTTTTTTAGTAGAGACGGGGTTTCACCGTGTTTGCCAGGATGGTCTCGATCTCCTGACCTCGTGATCCGCCCGTCTCGGCCTCCCAAAGTGCTGGGATTACAGGCTTGAGCCACCGTGCCCGGCCGTTTCTGCCCTTTTCTAAGCAGTTCAGACTCAGCAGCTAAGTCAATCTGATCTCATTCTGCGTCCTCACTGGTTGCACTCCCGTCCCTGGGCCACCGCGCCTGCGGGTCCTGCTCTCAGCGCATCTCGGCCATTTTTCTTTCTGTGTCAGCACCATGTGGTTGCTAATTTCCTGTATGGCCTGCGAGTTTCCACACACACAGGGCCCATATGGCCAAGCCCCCTGCTGACCCCGAGGGGCTCCCAGGGCCTGCCCTTGCCCATAGGTCCTGCTGCTCCCTCAGGCAACCTGGAAGTATAAGTGCTGGGTCCAGGGTGCAGGGCCTTCCAAGGCCGGCCGCCTGCGCCCCACACCTGCTCAGCCAGGTGTGCAGGATGTGTGTGCAGCAAAGGTGGAGCTGCTCCCCACATCCGACCTGCGCGCATTTCTGCGGATTCACTGTGTCTGAGGGGTGCATCCCACGTCACTCTCCAGCCTGCTTTGGGCTTAGGCTTGGAGACCTGGGTGCAGGCCCAGCCTGGGTGAACTTCAGGGCAGGCGGGTGGCTAAGCTGGGGCAGTGAGACCATCCTCCTGCTGTGAGAACCACCACGGTCCAGCAGGGTGGTTGCAGCCCTGGGTGCTTGGCCTCCTGCCCTCCGGGTCTTTCTGGGAGGAGCCGGCGGGGCTTGGGGTGGCCAGACCAGACATACCGTGTAGAAGCAACTGTAGACAGGCGGCCAGGGACGGGACTCCTGCAGGGAGCAGCTCGCACAGCACAGAGAAGTGGTCGTACCTGGGTCCAGGAGAGGGGCGCTCAGCTCCACAGCCCACTCCCACCAGCCTGACACCGGTGCCCTGACTCAGGACATCCCTGCTCTTGTTCCAGGGCCGTGGGGGCAGCCTGACCCCCTCGACCCACGGGGCCCAGGGTTTCCAAGACAGGTTCCATGCGGTAGGGCTCTCACATCAACTCCGTTCCAGAAACCGGACGAGTGAAGAGCGTGGGGATTCCTTACTGCGATGCTTTCCAGAGCCATGGGAACTCTGGGTGGGCCTTGGGTGGGTGGCCAGTCATTGTCCCTCCCCCCAGCACCTCTGGCCTCTGAGAAAAGGGTTCCTGCTCCTGGGGGCTGCCCTCGACGCCCCCTCCTAGGGCCTCTGGGCCTCTCCTGCCCACCCTCTCCCTCGGCTGCCTCCTGTCTGGCTGGTGGGGGCGGCAGCTTTTCCCCAAGAACCCACGAGGAGGGTGCGAGATCAGGCCTGGCAGGAAGCAGGTCAGCGGCAGCATCTGTCCCAAGCGAGGGCTGGGGGGCCTCAGCCTGGCTGGGGTGGGAGTCAGGGCTTCCCACTGCCAGATGGGGGCCTCCACCTGCCTGTGCCTCAGTTTCTTCAGCTGTGAGGTGGGTGACAGACGCCGCCCCAGGTGTGAGCACAGGCGAAGGCTGGGCGATGCCTGACGCCACAGCCCCAGGCTCGCCTGAAGGATGTGCCGCCCCTCTGGGGAGGAGGAGCCTCGCCCTGCTCTACGGACGGTCCTGGTTTGTGTAGACAGAGCTGTATCCCAACAGGACAGTGGGAACTATCTGGAAGCTTCTAAAGAGCCGCTGCCAGCTCTGGACATGCATGGCAGCTGTGAGCTGCCCCTGTAGCAGGCTGGCCCACCAGGCTCTGCGGTCCCCACCATGAAATTCTTGACTCCATCGAATCTGAGCCTTGTGGGTCAGGGCACGGGGCCCCCGGTGGGGTCCTGCCTCCAGCCGCTTGCCTAGCCCACGGCACCTGCGCCATCTGCCCCCCAACCCTCTAACTTGAGATGAGACCCAAAGTCAGGACTTGGCCGGCGACCAGGGGTTTATCTGTAGCTCTGCTTTTCACACGGTGTCGTCAGGGGAGCAGGGACCTGGGAGCGCCAGGGTGACGCCACGGAGGGTGACGCCACGGAGGCCCAGCTCCTCCATGAGACTAACAAGGCCCATCCTTGCCAGGCAGGACCCACAG